TCTTCAAGATTTTGTGGGAATAAAGCAATGTAGTTTAAAATAAGTTGTAGGAAAAACAAAATAACATGGCAAACCAAATTATAGGACTACAAAAAAACCCAATGGTCCGAATGTACTTTCAAGAAACAAAAATGACAACCATGAAATCCCAAAAAAAAACATTCAAAACCAAGAAAGATAAAAACGTAAACGGCTTAGGAGTCTATGATGCGAAATCAAAATTAAACACGAAGTAAGATTGTTTGTCGAAGTAAAATGCGTTTACTTTTCTTTCTTGGGTACCAAAAGAGGAGTTGGTTGTTCATCTGGTGGTGACAGTCTAGGATTTTCAGAAGTAGACAAATTCTCCATTTCATCAATATCTATGCATGTAGCAAGGTTTCTTTTCAACTCAATTGGTGTAGAAATGAATTTTATAGGACTTGTTGCAGTTGACTTGTCCCTAGCACATGGAGTTAAATTTTCACCGGTCTGTGAAAAAGAATCCTAAAAAAATATTTAGTTAGTTGTTATAAATTAAAACAAAATATTTGAGAAATATATTTTAAAAACTAAAACCTTGAGAACTTTGGTGTCATGAGAACCAACATCTGAAGAACCAATCAAGAATGAATCAGAATTAGCAGGCTGCATCACAAGATGAAAACAAATGATATTGAGTCAGATATTGTTGGGCCAATGTGTTAAAAAACAAAATATAATTGTTGAAAAAAACCTGTGAAGTAAGATTATTTTTTTCCAATTCATCAATTATGTCTGCATTCTCGGTTAATCTTGATATCCCATAAAGATTACTTTTATTATCGACATTGTAACGTGTGATATCAATCTTAATTGCCAACTTTCTGTCCAACACAACTTTCAACTCCATTGGATACAATTCCAAATTGTTGCCAAGCTAAAATGTAAATAAATATCATTAGAAAATTTGTATGTAAAATATATAATGCCAAGTTTTAGGCCAACACAATTGTAAACACCTTTTGAAAAAAATCCAAACTGATGCTAAGTTAAAATATAAAATAATACCTTCTTGTTTTTATCATACAACTCTTTAGCTGTGTATTTGAACAACTTCTTTGCTTCTTGGTCAAATAAAGTTAAAGTCAATGTTCCTGTGTTGTCTTGAACCCGAAGTGGGATTTTAAATCTAAATAAAGTATAAAATTATATTATATTAGACAATTATGATAAACATATATTATTATTATATAAAATTAATATCTAATACCTTGGAATAACCGAAATTTTGATATTTTTGCATTTAAGATTAGCACATTCATAAGTAACGATTTCGGCCACTTCATGAGAACCATCAACCTTATCAGTTGAAGACTCTTTTTCTTTTGCTGACTTTTTGCAGTTGCTACAAGCAAGGTAATACCAACGTATATTTTGACGTATTCCCTTAACAGTACCAACAATAATGACTGTCTTTTCCTGGATATTAAAATAATGCTCATTGTTAATAAATGTTATTTTGCGAAAGTGTATTTTAGTTTAGTTATAACAATATACTCTAAATATGAAAAAACATTTAAAATTTAAAAACATAAGTGCATTAAACTAACAATTTTAAAAATAATGTAAAGTACCTCCAAAGGTTCAAACAAGTCTTCAATGTTAGAAAACAAATGATTTTTCAGAAAGTCATCATGTTCTGTGTCTTGTTTTGATGCAATCATTTTAATTCCACTTGATGACAGTTGTTGTCCATTTTCAGAGACCAATCTGTTCATTTACAACAAAGAAATGATTTAAATTTATTATAGTATGAAATAAATAAATCTGATAATACATAGGAAATTCTAAATGAAAATACTTGTTTTTGTAGATTGTAATTTCATCGATATCATTGTTTATGAAAACCCTACTAACATCAAAGTAGGTGGATGAAAAAGGACGACCTGCCAAAATAAATTTGATTATTCAATAATATATATATATATATATATATATATATATATATATATATATATATATATATATATTAGATTATGCTTGTTAAAAATAGTTACAAACCATTAATAAACTTCACCCTGGCAAATTGAACAATAACAACAACTGGAGCAAGGTTGTTATTGTTAGCAAGAAAATCATGCATGTAGTATGCATTATGACCCCACAAAGTTATCTTAAGCTTAGTATCCCTGAAATAATAAACAAATATTGTAAATAATATAAATGAAGCTATATTACTTGTTTGTAATAATGGTGAATACTCTATATCTTGAAGATGCAAGAGCATCTTGTGTTTTGATTTATCTTGTTCTAAGGTATCCATATGCCCATACTCAAAAATGTGTCCAATAATATCTACAAAAGCAAGGAAATATAATTTAATATAAAATATCAAATTGTAATACGAAGAAAGAATTTAGGATGTTATATAGCAAAAGTTAATATTAAATAAACCAACCAAAAGAGTTTGACTCCAGGATGTTGTTAGAAACGATAGTATTGAAGTCAACAAAATGAAAGCCATGTGCAGATCCAGAAAAGTTTTTCCAATCTTTTACAATTGTATCGTGATAAAAATTTAGTTTTGATTCCGGATGAGCAAACTTAAATTTTGAAGTATTTGGTGCGACGTTAGGTTTCTTGACGTAAATTGAACTATCCTCTTTTAAATAGCGCTTGAATTTAGGAAACCATTTCTTCACACATGATGCATGAATTTTCCTTCCCTAAAATAAATGAATTAATAAATATTTAAATATAATTGCTTATGAGTATGAATAATTTTTTATAAAAATAATAATTGAATACATCCATCTTATACCTCCTCATCCATCAAAATCATTTCTATCGAGTATGTGTCGTTCGCATCAAATCTTGACTTTTGAGTCCAAAGACGTATAATCCGAACTTTAATTGTGAAATCGTCCTTGATTGAGTCAATTTCCTTTATAGGAGTAATATGTTCCATTGTACCTTGCAAGTTAAAAAAAAAAAAAGTTTACATTAAATTAGACAATTATAATCAGCACACAGAAAAAAACAATCAAACAGTCAAGAAGAAAGTACATTGGTATTTAATTGACACTTATAATCTGTAATGAAAATAAAAACAAAATTATATAAAAAAAAAAAAGCAAACATTGAAAATGAAAAAGTAAAAATACATACATCAACCAAAAAGGTAGTAGATTGCCATTTTATTTGATTTTGATGGATACAAAAATCCATTGTTATCATGTGTTTAACTTAATTAGGGGTAAGTAAGGGGAAACACTTAATTGAACTTTAAAATTTATTGTTTAGATTAAAAAAAATTCAAATAGCCAAAAAGAAAGTACATTGCCATTTAACTGAGTGGGAGGGACATTTTAGGCATTTCTAGCATATAAAAAGAAAACATATACTATGGACGTTTTAAATTTATTGTTTACATTGAATTTGAAATTTATAATCATCAACCAATAAAAAATTAAAAAAAATAAAAAAAATCAAACAGCCAAAAAGAAAGCACATTGCTATTTAACTGATATCCCAAAAATAAAACATATATTTGTTCTAATTAATGTTTTTTTTACTTGTTAACATATGTGTCAAAAACTTTTCTCTTATACATAACAGGGAAAAAACAATCAAACAGCCAAGAAGAAAGTACATTGCTATTTAATTGACACTTATAATATGCAATGAAAATAAAAAAAAGTTATATTAAAAAACCAAACAGTCAAAAAGAAACAGCAATTAAGTGGAAACAGTAAAAATACATATATCAACCAAAAAGGTAGTACGTTGCCATTTATTTGATTTTGATGGATACAAAAATCCATTCTTATAATGTGTTTAAGTTAATTAGGGTAAGTAAGGGGAAACAGTTATTTGAACTCTAAAATTTATTGTTTAGATTATAAAAAAATTCGCCAAAAAGAAAGTAAATTGCCATTTTACTAATAATGTATAAAGAAAACATATATTTGTTCTAATTACCTACCTGTTTGTATTCTTAAAGTATTTGTGAGAAAACTGATTTTGATTATTATTAAAGTATTTGTGAGAAAACTGATGATTTTAAAACTTGAATAGAAAACTACTGACATCTACTTTTCACATGATGTTAACATAACATTAAGATCATTTTTTTTATAAAATATAACACGTGTTTTCCTTTTTTTACACTAAAGAATCAATGTTTTTTGTACTTGTGAACATGATTATGCGATTTTTATCTTTTACACTAAAGAATCGATGTTTTTTTACTTGTAAACATATGTATCAAAAACTTTTCTCTTATACATAACAGGGAAAAAAACAAAATATAAAACTGATGAAACAGAAAAGGTAAAGAACAGTGTAGTTTTGCTGACCTGATGATGAATATGTCACCTCTGAAATGTAACCTAACGATGAATATGTGATCTCTGAAATCGTATTGAATAAATCACGTTAACAGGAATCGTATTGACTTCTCAAGTTGTATTGAAATATATCATCTATGCGTAAACTGATTGCCTGATTTTTAGGGATTGACACTATATGGAATTTAAATTGATTAGCTGATAATGGAATTTAAATTGATTAGCTGATTTTTTGGGATGGATATTGCATATTCGACAGAAATCAATTTTAAATTTCCTGATTTACATATTTACTTATTTACTTATTATTTACTTATTCATAATTCATGTTTGCTGATGTAGAAAATGTTTTCGAACAGAAAGCCAAAGTGGGAACTTCACTTATAATATATGAGCGGGAAAACGTAAGGTGGAGAGGCTAAGGGACTGCCAAGTGGCGTTTTCAGTACTGTTTTATTAGTAGAGAATATATATATATATATATATATATATATATATATATATATATATATATATATATATATATATATATTCACCTTTTTTGTTAGCTATACCTCTATAATCTTATACCAATTCAAGTCAATCATGGCATTCCAGTCTCCAGTCTCCACCTCACGGTTGCATTTATTAGGTTAGAGAGTGTCAACTCGTTAAAAATAGAGTATTCGAATGCCTTTTGGCAACTCGACCGCCATAAATACCACCATTTGGGCATACCTTCCATAACCAGCAATTACTCGAAAATGGTATTCAAGGCTTTACCTTACTCTCTCAGGCTTGTTCTCTTCGTCTCTCGCCTTCTACTCAAACTCCACCAGAACCATACAAAAACTCTTAAAAGAACCCTAAGCAACTCGCATGCCTCCAAACTCAAATCACAAACCCCCGTTTCTCTAGCTCAAGATTCCGATCTTTCGCTAAAGACTTTGATCTTCGATGTCGAAGGAACACTTCTAAGATCTCCTTCGGTGTTTCCGTACTTCATGTTGGTTGCGTTCGAGGCCGGAAGTTTGATTCGGGCTTTTGTACTTTTCTCTCTGTATCCTCTTCTTTGCTTGGTTAAGGAAGATGTATCTGTCAAGATTATGGTGATGGTTTGTTTTTTTGGCATTAAGAAAGAAAATTTTCGAGTTGGAAGCTCGGTTTTGCCTAAATTTTTCTTGGAAGACGTTGGTATGGAAGGGTTGGACATGTTGAGGAGAGGAAGGAAGAAAGTTGGCGTCAGCAAGTTGCCACAGGTCATGGTCGAATGTTTCTTGAAAGACTATTTGGAGATCGATTATGTCTTTGGAAGAGACCTTGTGGCTTGCGGAGGGTACTATGTCGGTCTCATGAAAGAAAACAAGAACATTCTAAAACGTCGTATTAACGATGTATTAGAAAAAGATGAAGATGCCACGGTTTGCTTCTCAAACAAGTGGATTAAGCACGATTGGATCATGTGTAGCAAGGTACTTCTTCACTCTATATATACATTCGTACTTTGCATTTAGAAACATATATACATGCATGTATATGTAACATTTGTTGAAGGGGCAAAAGTTAAAAATAAAAATAAATCTGAGGGTGCAAAAATTAAGTTATTTAGTTTCCTAGTACTAGATTAGTTTCAAGATGATTGACTTTATATATATATATATATATATATATATATATATATATATATATATATATATATATATATATATATATATATATATATATTTTATGTACAGGAGGTTTATGTGGTTACCAATGGAGAAAAGATAGCATGGCAAAGTCTTCCAAGAGAACAATATCCAAAAGCTCTAATCTTCCATGATGGCAGATTAGCCTTTCGACCCGAGCCATTGCATATGCTAGTCATGTTCATGTGGTTCCCTTTCGCGCTGGTTCTAGCCATTTCTCGAGTCATTATCGCACTGTCCTTGCCTTATGGTGCATTGATCCCGATCCTGGAGTTCACCGGTTTGCAGCTCAGGCTCACGAATCACAAGTCAGTTCAAAAGTCGGGTTCTGATCATGATCATAAACAACACAAAGGGCTTTTATATGTTTGTAACCATAGAACTTTACTTGACCCACTATACCTCTCTTTCGGACTCAAGAAACCATTCGCCGCTGTCACATACAGTCTCAGTCGAATGTCGGAAATCTTGTCACCAATCAAAACTGTCCGACTAACAAGGGACAGGGACCAGGACGCGAAGATGATGGACAAGATGTTAAAGCAGGGAGACCTCGTGGTTTGCCCCGAAGGGACAACTTGTAGGGAGCCTTATTTGCTGCGGTTCAGCCCTTTATTTGCCGAACTTAGCGATCGTATTGTTCCAGTGGCATTGGATACTCATGTTAGCATGTTTTATGGGACAACTGCCGGTGGATTAAAATGCTTGGATCCTTTCTATTTTATGATGAACCCTAGTCCTATTTATCGAGTTCAGTTCCTAGAGCAGGTTCGTGGCGTGTCTTCCAATTCGCGATGTGGTGATGCAAACTCCACAAGGTTCGATGTGGCAAATTATGTTCAAACCGAGATTGGGAAGACATTGGAGTTCGAATGCACAAGCTTAACGAGAAAGGACAAATATCTTGCATTGGCCGGTAACGAAGGGTTGGTTTCCACTAGTAAGAAAAGATGATTGATGGATGAGTCTGTATTAATTATTATATCACCAACTTAATTATGTTTATTATATTTTTCACTTTTCATACTGTATATATACATGGATATGAATCAGTATTCTTTATTTGGATTTGATAATAATAATAACTAGATTAACGACGGAACATAAAGTATATACATATTACATTAAAAGGTGGAAGAAGAAGAACAGGAATAAGTACAAAGTAATATACAAGAAATTGTAGAAAAAGAAGGAGAACATGGTAAAGAAAAAACCTAGAAAAAAGAATAATAGAATAAAATCGTTGAAGAAGAACAATGTAAATCATACGACTCAACTCAAAATCGCAAGAAGAACAACTTCAATGTAATCGTATATATAAGTTGTTTTTCAATAAGGAAATCATTATCTTCTAAAAAAATGGGATCCCAAAATATTACCTTGGAGATTTTCAGTTATTTATCTGGAAAAAAAATGATATCATTTATATTGAATTAAAATTTCAAATTAATTGACTTGCTTAATTTATGAGTTTTAAATTCAAAACCATTATCTGAAAATGATTCATTTTACGTGAGATATATCAGGAGATAAATTATAAATAATATTGATTTTATTTTTGACTCTTAAATATTTTGCTAATTTAATAGAATTAGATTAGATTTTATAGGTTAATGATCAAATTGTTGATATGCTTATTTAATGAGTTTTTTTTTTAAAAAAGAATTAAATAAAAACTAAATATGTTTGAATTTTAAAACAAGAGAGTTAAATTAGAAACAAATATTAATTAGAGAAACTAATATCTCGTATATAAATAGAATGATATGCTGTAATTGATAATGTAATTATTGAATTTAAAGATTCTATAATTAAATATAATTGTATTTGAATTTTATTTGAAAAAGATGATATCAGCAATCTAATCTAACGGTGGAAAACATAGGATTGAAATGCAATCAAAGATCTTGATTGCTTCATTGGTGAATTAAGGGTTTTCTTTTAATAATTTTTAAAGATATTTGTAGTATTCTTCGTAAAAAAAATGTTTTTTGTTCGATGTTAATTTTTTTTTTCCAATTCAACAATGATTGTATTATCAACAGTGAAGTTTGAGATTGCATAACCATCAACTTTGTTCTTCAAATTATAATGTAAAATTTGAATTTGAACACCAACTTATTATCGAAAAGTACATTCAAAGCAGATAGATAAATCTTCATATTACCCTACTAAAAATTAAAAAAAAATGGTTATAAAATAGATAGACAAAAGGTAAAAAATTAGTTTTATATAAATGAAGTTATTATTGATAACCTAATTAAACTTTTGAAGCAACTCTTGTGCGGTTTTTTCCAGAAGTTTCTTCGTGTCACGATCAAATACCGTAAGTGACAACACACCGGTAAAGTCTTGTAATTGAATGTTGATTTTGAAACTAAAGCCATTGATATAAACAAATACAGTAATATAAAATTAGAAAATTTAACTAAAGAGTATAATAATATGTATAAAAGAATTTTTGAAAAACATAGAACAAGATATATGTATTTGTTCATGTAAGTTGAAGTGTAACAATAAAAAACTTCTTCATCTTGCTTTTGGCCCCTTCCACAAGTTTTGTCATCATACATTAAAACGACTTTTATAACTTTCTCTTGACAAACATAGGTCAGCATATTAAAAAAATTAATATAAATGATATAATTTTGTTTCTATAACTAAATGAATGAAACTAATATACTTAAAGTAGATTGATTAATTTTTTTTCTTGACCTCTTAAGAGGAATACAGTAATAATAAGTAATAAGAACAAAGTAAATACAATAAATTGTAGAAGAAGGAAAATAGGGTAAAGAAAGAACCTAGAAAAAAATATTATAGAATAAGACTGTTAAAGAATAACATTGTAAATCATACGACTCAATCCAAAATCGTAAGAATAACAACTTCAATGTAAGCGTGTATATATAGGTTGTTTTTCAATAAGGAAATCATTATCTTCCAAAAAAAATGGGATCCTAAAATATTATCTTGGAGATTTTAGGTTATTCATCTGGAAAAAATGATATCATTTATATTGAATCAAAATTTCAAATTAATTGTTTTGCTTAATTAATGAGTTTTAAATTCAAAACCATTATCTCAAATTGATTTATTTTATGTGTGATATACTGGAAGATAAATTATAAATAATATTGACTTTATTTTTTACTCTTAAATATTTTGCAAATTTAATAGGATTAGATTAGTTTTTATAGGTTAATGACCAAATTATTGATATGCATATTTAATAGTTTTTTAAAAAAGAATTAAATAAAAACTAAATGGGTTTGAATTTTGAAGCCACAAGCTATAAATAAGGAAGTTAAATTAAGAACAATATTAATTAGAGAAACTAATATCTCGTATATAAATAGAATGATATGTTGTAATTGATAATTTAATTATTGAATTTAAAAATTCTATAATTATTAAAGATTCTATAATTAAATGTAATTGTGTTTGAATTTTATTTGAAAAAGATGATGTCAGCAATTTAATCTAATGGTGGAAAATATAAGATTAAAATCCAATTAAGGGTTTTCATTGTTTCATTGGTGAATTAAGGGTTCTCTTTTAATAATATTTAGAGATGGACATATTGTTTTATGTACAATTTTTCTATTTTAAATATAACTAGGTATGATTTTATTTAATTTATGCTCATGTAAAATAAATAATACGGACAAAACAATTACATATCTATTTTACGCGGCACAAATGACTAACGACATATAAATGTTGTTTCGTTAACTCCATTTTATTTTAGACATTTTGATTTTCATATAATGGGTTGAACGAGACGAGACTACAAACACTCCTCATTTCTGAGGCTCCTTCCTACCCACATCTATCTACACACGTCACATCTATTATGTTTTGTTTGTTTGATTGTTTGTTTGTTTTTTTAAATGACGGTGTTAATGGTTAGAAATTAGTATCATAAAATAGTCAAGAAGTCGAGACCTCTAATCTAAGAGGCAAACCTATACCATGTGCGCTTGTCCCACATTGTCACATTTGTTTGTTATGTTATCACTTTTATATTTATCACCAGATGACACATGTAAAATAATCATTAATCCCTTACTCAACGAAACCACAAATTAGTGATACTGCCTCATAGGGGATTACTCTCCACTATGTGATTCTATATCTTTGTAATAAATAAATAGAAACCTAATTAATTTACCTTTTTTTTCTATAAATAAAAGAAAAAATCAATACTGTTTCAAAATTATATTTCAGTTAATTTAATAATAAATGAACTTATTCAATTTGATTTATTATGTTTCATTATGTATTGATATTTATATAATGACATCAATATAACATATATAATTAATAACTAAATATAAAATGTTGATGTAATAATGTTTTACAAAATATGGAGATTTAGCTGGTTAAGTGGTACAAAAAATAAAATGTTTAAGGTAATAATGTTGAGTGAATATATAATAAATTAAAATTGAAACGGTGGATATAAGTTTTCGAATTGGTTAATATAAAATAATTAAACTAATATATATATATATATATATATATATATATATATATATATATATATATATATATATATAAAGAGAGAGAGAGAGAGAGAGAAAAGAAAGAGAGAGAGAAAGAGGATCCGTTCAAAACTCCAAAATTATGAAAACACGAGACCTTTTTTTTTGAATTTTCTTTCCTAAAGAAGGGCTTAATGCATTAAGATGTTGTTTAATAAACCTAGTCATTAGGAAAAAAAGATAGATTTTTTCCGGATGCTTAAAAAAATTAAAAACCAACTACTAAGGTCTCCTATTTTATAAATATCTTTTATTTTCTCTCTCGCTATTTCTAGCACTTCTCTCATCCGTTGCTCCTCCAAGACCACTGGAGAGCCGTTGACCGTCGAATTTTCTGATCAACTGAACCACCACTAGAACGATTAGACCGCCATCTGAACACTTGCTCTCCATTTTCAACAGATTTTCTTACACCTCCTAGCTTCACCTCCACGTGTTGCTCGTCGGAAACCACATCCCTCCGCCTCTCCTCTTCCTAAAAGAATTTCCCCCGCCACATTGCTTCCTAACCTGCCTATTTCTGCCAAATTTGATGTAACATCCTGTTCTGGATAATTTTGTGATTTAAGGCCCGTGGGCCTTAATCCGAGTATGATAAGGTTTTGAGGCTTTGAAAGAGAAAGGTTTAGGCCCTTTTGGGATGTGGTAAGGTAGGTTGTGTGATAAAAGAGTTTGGTTTGTGCTTTAGAGCCCAAATGTATTGTTAAAGCTGCTGGTTCGGGCTTTTCATGAATTTTGGATCTGATTTCGAGTGGGCTTCAGGAGGATTAAAGTTGATAGAAGTGTAGGGCTTCTCGTTACCTTTTCGTGGATATAAGGATCGTCAGAAACCGATTTATAACGAAGAAGTTATGGCCTTAAGAAGTTTTGTGGTTTCAGGCTTAGCTGAGTACGATGGGCGTACACAAAGCATACGTTGGGCGTACTTTGGAGTACGTTGGGCATACTGAACAGGGGTGGTCGCGAATGTTCTTCAGAGTACGCTGGGCGTACCATATATACATTGGGTTTACGCTAATCAGACCTGAACCTTATTTTAGGGTCTTGGACCCTATTTAAGCTCCTTATCTCATAACCTAACCCTAATATCTTCATCCTCCATCCCTCAAAACCTAGAAATCGACCTTAAGCCTCCATTTGAGTGATTCTTGAGCATTTTGGTAACTTAGTGAGTTTTTGGTGCATATTGTGGAAGGAGTTCCTTGACGAAGCATTGCTTGCTTGGAGCTTGTAGATCCAAGCCCTAATCAGGTTGATCTTGCTCCAAAAAGCATAAAGTTTGAATCTTCATGGCTTTCTCATGTGGATTTAGTGGGGTGGTGACTTGTTATGTTTGGTTTTTGAAGAAGAATGAGCTTTGAAAGAGAATAGGTTGAGCATCTTGCTTTTGGATCTATGTTCTTCTCTTGTTGGTGCAACTTCCAGAGGTATTAAGTTTGAAACTTGCTTATTGTTGTGCTAGTTTTTGTTTTGGGTCCATTTTAGGGTTTTTGGTCCCAAAGCTTGAAGCTTTATGAGTTGTTGAACTCCAGAGCCTAATATATGTCCCTT